TTGATGGAAATAATATCACTGGAAAGAAAATTCAGATATAGCTCCTATTTACAGGTGTAATGCCTTCTTGGGAATGGGCTGGTAAGGCAGGAGACGGAGTTACAGACTGGTTACAAATCAGATCTAAGTCGAATTTGTAGGAAATTCGGAACAGGCATATGGAGTTCCTATTTTATTTAGTTAAATGTTTGTCTCAATATATAGTATATACTTTACCTTTCTATGCATATAAAACACGTAAGAAGCACTTGCAAACATATCTAAAAATAATAATACAGTACATAACAGTAACAGGCCCAACAACAATACAGCAATAATAGAAGTAAATATAGCCACAGGTGGTGATTGTTAGAGTAAAACCACTTGGACTCTGGAGCCTGAATAGATGCTTTAGTCAGATTGAGGATCAAATGTTCCATTAGAATGTTTGTAAATGAATGTGTATTAAACATCGGTGATATATTTATCTCTCCATGTTTTGGTCTTATTTATTTTCGTGTATATTGGACATGTAATTTCATTCAAAATTCCATATCATAACTGAGGATGTACTAAAATTACTATTTTAATTTTATCACATGCTTTCGTAGAAGCTTCTTAATTTGCTCCATCACCTCCTCTGTCTTCAGCGAGTAAATGATAGGGTTCAGGAGGGCAGGTAAGACCATTGACAGTGATGTGTTAAGAATTCGGGTGTTAACTTCAATTGTGACGTTAATCCATGCAATGGTGTAAATCACCAGGATGGGCATGAAAAACATTGCTACCAGAATCAGGTGTGCGGTGCAGGTTCTCACTGCCTTCCATCGCCCTTCGGCAGAATTGATTCGGGAGATGGCGATGACAATGCACACATACGAGGATAGGATGAATGCCAGGGGCACAAAAATGACAACAACCAGGAACACACTAGTAACCCTCCAGTTCACAGTGTTGTCACTACAGGCCATTTTAAACACTGGACCATGATCGCAAAAGTAGCTTACCACGACGGGAATTGGCTTACAGAAGTACAGGCGAGTGATCAGAGCTACCATTGTAGCCAGAAGAGTAAAGGCCAGGACCCAGCAGAAAGCGATGATGCCCACCATTCGGGTGTTGGTGATGATGGTGCTGCTCCGCAGGGGAAAACAGATGGAGACCAGCCTCTCAAAAGCCAGGATAACCAAAGAATACGATTCTATGGTGTAGAAGGAGTGGATGAAGAACATCTGGGTCAAGCACAGGTTGTACGGCACAAACTGTGAGTTGAAGAGGAACTGATCGATGCATTTTGGCACAAGGGCAGTACTGTGGCTCACATCTATGACAGACAAGCTGAACACGACCATGTACTTTGGCGTGTGAAGAGCCTCAGACTGCCATATCACCATCATCAGGAAAAAGTTCCCTAGAAGAGTTCCGAAGTAAAGGATACCCAACAACATGAAATAATAGTTAGTGTCCTTCAGGCCCTGAAAGCCCATAATGAAAAACCCAAATGGCTGGTAAACTGTTGTGTTCCCCTCCATGGATTTTAGTTGGTTAGAACCTTCTGGATTTTCTTCCTTAAAATGCTCTTGATTTATTTGGTTAAGCAAGCAGCTGAAAAGAATAACAGAGACGCTTGGTAAATGTTTTTCAGAAATAGCATTTTGCAATCCTGGCACCCATCTCTGTAATAAGACAGGGATGCAGTGGCACAGAAATGCTGGTCCTTGGTTCTAGTAGGAACAATTACATTTCAGCTCAGACCTTTATATGCATCTAGAAATTCAAAATAAAGAGAACTTATAGTGATGCATGAGTGCCCCCTTGTGGATGCTGTGAGGGATCAGGGTTCCCTTGACAATCATTTTTGCACTGACAGCAGTCACACAACAAAACACACAGTTTAAAAGTATATTGCATCATTTTTTACTTTGAGTGTCATTCCTGCGTCAGTGTAATGTGACCAGTAGGTGGCACTAAGGCCAGAGAGGTGATGGTAATGGACGTTTACTGCTATGTTTTTTTTTTTACCATTTTCCCATATAGACTATTCATCATAAATCAATGCATGTAATAGAAAATAGTTAAATGGTTAAATAACAATATAAAATAAAGAAGAATTTCATTTGTTCTCCAAAAAGTGACAGATCTTGTTGGATGGCTAGTAAATTGACCATTGGTCCCCAAACACCTCAGCCAATCTATGAATTTGTTACATTTCTCCACCAGCTCAATTACTTCATGAGGACTTTGAGTTTTGGTTCCCGATACTGTAACACGATGAGGACGTCTGACTTGTCTTAGCGAGTTAGATGGGTCACATAAGGACTGAGAGACTTCTCAACACTAACATATAATGAGGAAGCCTTACTTTAGGTCATTATTGATCTCATCTCAAAAATGAAAAAAAATGGACTGGGTGAGTTTTGGAAATTTGCTCTTCATATGTGCTTTAAAACGTCATTAAATTTCATAGGCACATACGTACCACTCTTATGTGAAAGAATGTGTGTAAGACTTTAAAAAAAAAGCAAGAATATTAAATAAATGTTTTTCTCCCAAAGGACTCTTTAATTAATTAATTTAAGTAATGCCACTGGAGTCTGCACTAATCATGCTTAAGCATAATGAAATGTTGAATTTCTTTTAACATTAAATGGAGTTAAAACTAAACATGGCCACAAGTTTTGTATTTTTATGGACAATGTGAATTTCCTTCCTTCCATCCATCCATCCATCCATCCATTTTTTGAAACTGCTTATCCTGCTTAGGGTGGCGGAGAGTCTGGAGCCAATTCCGGAGTCTACAAGCGCAAGGCAGGGAACAACCCAGGATGGGGCGCCAACCCCTCACAGGGCACACTCACAGCTACAGGCACAAGGCAGGGAAGAACCCAGGATGGGGCGCCAACCCCTCACAGAGCACACTCACAGCTACAGGCACAAGGCAGGGAAGAACCCAGGATGGGGCGCCAACCCCTCACAGAGCACACTCACTGCTACAGGCACAAGGCAGTGAACAGCCCAGGATGGGGTGCCAACCCCTCACAGAGCACACTCACAGCTACAGGCACAAGGCAGGGAACAACCCAGGATGGGGCGCCAACCCCTCACAGAGCACACTCACAGCTACAGGCACAAGGCAGGGAACAACCCAGGATGGGGCGCCAACCCCTCACAGAGCACACTCACAGCTACAGGCACAAGGCAGGGA